TCCATAGATTGTTGATCGCACTGTTAAGGAGTGATTTCCCTTCTCATGTAATGTCCATTGCGCTATATGTACTAATGCTCGCTTTAAAACGTCTCTGTTTATATTGAATTATTTGCTTGACTCGAAAAAGAAACTTCTCATAAATGCGTACAAAATTCCAGTCATATTTGTATCTGTGGTAGAAACTTTACCTTGCGACAATAAGATATATCGCTTTACCGATTCTCCCAAAGCTCATCTGTTCTTTCATTCAACAAAAGCATACACCTGAATTCTAAACGTGCGATAATCAAGCGAGGTTTTCGATAAACGATATATATGAAATTGCTTTAATATTCGCTGCAGACGAATTCAAGCTTCAATCACTCCAAATTCAAAGGAAAAAAAGAATGGTTCCATCATATCAACTGTGTAAGATTTCTAGTTTTTTTCAGTCGTAATTCACTCAAAAAAATATGGCCTCAAAAGTACAGTGCCCTGAGCGCCAGGGTGGCAACACTCTTGTTTGGGGTGGGTTGCCAAGTGGAACGCTGGGTGGCAACACTCATGTTTGAGGTGGGTTGCTGAGTGGAACGCAGGGTGGCAACACTCTTGTTTGGGGTGGGTTGCCAAGTGGAACGCTAGGTGGCAACACTCATGTTTGGGGTGGATTGCCAAGTGGAACGCTGGGCGGCAACACTCTTGTTTGGGGTGGGTTGCTGAGTGGAACGCAGGGTGGCAACACTCTTGTTTGGGGTGGGTTGCCAAGTGGAACGCTGGTCGGCAACACTCTTGTTTGGGGTGGATTGCTGAGTGGAACGCTGGGTGGCAACACTCATTATTATAAATAATATATCCCAATTTATACTCGTAGCGCATTGTGTTTTCACTACATTTGTGGTATAAATATAAAGTTTCATGCATATATTCCTCAAACAAAATTCGTTTCAGTTTGAATTAAAGTATGAAATTTGACTGCGTAGCGTGACTACAACATGAGCCGAAACTTCAGAGGTTAATTCAACTATTCCAAGTGATTTGTTATAATGCAATTACACGGTATATCGAAACTCTGATTTCGATGGAAAAGGAAAGTCGGACAGTGAATTACATTTGTGTATAAAATCTGAATTCCCTCAAGGTAAGTGGGAATTCGCACCTAAGAATATGAACGAAATATTTAAATACAATTACTCCTCGCTGAGATTTTTCTGCAGTCGAACAATTGACTTTTCACCGAAGTATTTCAAGATTTAACTATGAAAAATACTACGGAAAAAATAACAGAAATACATTTCTATAACAATTTCAGTGGAATAATTTCCTCTGGAATATATTGAAAATCTGGATAAGCTATCAGGCGTTGAGAGAGGTTCCGGTTCTGAAACTCTTATATTTTCAACGGCATCTTTATACAAATTCTTTCATGGGAAAAACAAGAAACTAGCGAAACAATCAACAGCTAGTCTCTTCTCAAAGCTAACTTTGCGAATTTATAACAGCTTTATATTTCTTTAATAACTGTTTTCTTATCAGTAATCATGGATGAAATGCGCCTGCTGCTAGTCCGTATGGTGACATTCTTGCAAGGCTCAACAAGCACGATCATCATTAATTACGTGATAATTAATGATAGTTACGTGGACGCCACGTTCAACATTCATTGTAATGTGAAACGTTGAAGTGACGCGTGTACGAAGTTCAACAATCATTGTAATGTGGAACGTTGAAGTGACGCGTGTACGACGTTCAACATTCATTGTAATGTGAAACGTTGAAGTGACGCGTGTATGACGTTCAACATTCATTGTAATATGAAACGTTGAAGTGACGCGTGTATGACGTTCAACATTCATTGATATGTGAAACGCTGAAGTGACGCGTGTATGACGTTCAACATTCATTGTAATATGAAACGTTGAAGTGACGCGTGTATGACGTTTAACATTCATTGTAATATGAAACGTTGAAGTGACGCGTGTATGACATTCAACATTCATTGTAATATGACATGTTGAAGCAAAGTGTTATGCGTCACATACGAAAAACACTTCGGATTTCGATAGTTACATATTGCATAAACTAAGTCCACTACGGACTGTTAATACTGAATACTATACAAATGTCATGTCGCAGTCAACTCCAACACTAGTTACCTTCCACCCCTCAACCATGCCGGTCTTCATTCAATAGATGAGTCACAATGACCCATTCAATACGAGCAGATAGGCGACGTGGCACTGGGTTCCACCCCTCAACCATGCCGGTCTTTATTAATAATATTATATTTATATTATTACCCATTCAATACGAGCAGATAGGCGACGCAGCACTGATTCAGGATGACCCACACAACTATTTGGACAGACACACACATTTCTATGAGTGGAGAATACAGCTTATAGTTTCTAGTCATCGCTGAGAGGCGTGGCCCATGATGGCTTATGATTGGCATAAATTTTCTGACATGGTAATTACAACAAATTTCAGCAACAATAACGTTTGGTCTCCCAATTACTTATATTAGTAGAAACAGTATTTCTCATACCACTGTTATTTCAGGTTAAACATTTGATTTTTTTTTAAATCAAACCTCAGCATGTAGAGCAAAATTGAACATACAGCCTGAGACATCGGCGATATAGCTTTGCCCAACACAATTTAATGCAACGGCAACACAATTAACAAATAAAGTTTTTAGTAAACACAGTGAAGTTCTTCGCAACTTTTCAAGCAAGAATAATCACGACTATGAGTAACGTGTCAATAAACTTAATTGACTGTACGAAAAATTTTCACTCATTTCAAAGCTCACTAAAAGATGGATTATATCAGTGAACTCTAATTTCAAATTCAACACTCTATCAATATTCGTGTACTGAACATATAATTCGAGTAATCGCCCTCATTTCTGGGCAACATCGACACAGTCCATGGCTCAGACGCAGCACAACGACGATTAGTTGTTTAGTTTAGTGGCCAAATGTTTACTAGCGCTTCAGCTATTTAGCTATCTCGCACCGAAAGTCAAGATGAACATCACCATAGAGGTGGAAGGTCTCAATTATTCATCACCCACAAAGGGCGGAAGGTCTCAGATGTCCAGCCCGCTGAAGCTGGCTCGAAAGAAGTAGCGTTAGCATCTCAAAGAGACGAAGTGACAAGGAGGGACAGGTGAAAAGCAATAGAAACTAAGACACTCGAACAAGAGGTCGCTTACACGGGACGTCGGCCGCCCGCACGAGAGAGACAGAGCAGGGAAATGTAAGGAATCCTGCCTACATAATAACTTAACCCCATAACTGAGACCTGCAGTCAGACACCGCGAGCTCAGCGGTGGGGCGCTCAGGAACAGTCCCCCTAGGAGCGCGAGATCCCATAGGACTTCTGACGAGCACAGACACGCGTCAGAAGTCCCCCCTGAGGGGATATGGATTATATCAGAGAACTCTAATTTCAAATTCCACTGCATCAATCGTCGTGTACTGAACATATAATTCGAGTAATCGCCCTCATTTCAGGACACCATCAACACAGTCCATGCTCAGATGCAGCACAACGATGATTAAATGAATAATTAAATGTAAATATTAAATTATCGATCATGTTGGATTTTCCTCAACTAAAGCTTCTTTTCCTCAAATAAAACTTCAAATTAATTTCCAACTGTTAAAAATCTATTGGTCTTGAGCAGCTCATGTCTACATTTCAGTACAACGATATACATCTGATGCTACTGCGTGGATTTCTGTACAAAACGCTTAGGACAGCAACACAAAGTTGGCATATCTTCGGGCACCAGAAGTCGGGTACAAAAGTAGAGCGTAACTTAGGGGTTAAGTTAACCCAGGGAAGGACAAAGGGAAGACTGTCAAAAAGAATTAAGGAACATCTTGAACAAGTTTTACTCAAGGATAAAATCACGAAAAGTGCAGTAGGCTACGAGTCGCAAACAGGATTTATGAAATATTAAAGAAATTGGAACCGCGACTGATTACATGGAAAGGAAAATAGGGTGACTTGAAGGAAAGGGAAAGGGGCAAGTTTTAAGTAGAGGAAGTCGATAACAAAGATAAGAGGAAACATTAAGAAGAAGAGGAACATGGGAAAATCTAATGCAGAGACAGATTTCCTTGTGACAGAATTACACAATCGAACAAAGCTACAGTATTAACACTTAACTTCATTAAATGCCAGTCACTCGTTCAAAAAAATACTGCATTGATCCCTTGTACGTTGTAAAATAAGTTACTACTTCTTTCTTGCAAAAAACCACGGATTTTAAAATAAAAGTTTCCTCGAAACTATTGCAAACATAAGCCAGCTCGTCCTGAATACGAGACCTCAAACTTAGCAAAGAAGATAGCAATAAATACAATTGTCGACGACGGAGCGCTAGCATGCAGGAAGCGGGGCGCTCTCCCCTTGAATTTCACCGGGAGCTGAAACTTTACAACGAGAGACCCCAGACAACCTCAACATGAATATTAAACATAAAAAATTCAAGTTTGCTAGAATAAATGCACAGTTTGAACTAAATGTTATCGATCAATAATATTCTAAATTTAAAAAAGCGGCGGGATGAAAGAATCAAAAAAGTTAATACTGAGTTAAGAATATGAGGCTATTGAATGAAACCTTTGTCACACGTAACAAAAACTCGATGTTTATACAATTATTCCAGCAGAACTAATTTTAAACAAATAATTCTTGAAACCTATGAGCGTATAAAATAAAATACGTACAAAATATATGCGCACTGTGACTGTAAACACACAAATTCATCCGCGTAAAGTTGGCAAGAACTTTTTGCCCAAGAGTTGGGGCACAGCATATAATTATTTGCGTTAAAAATGTAAACTCTCTGAATCAAGACACTAAAGAAACAAATATCTTACAAATATGACGATAGGTAGGAATGAAAGCCCTCCATTTTCTAAAGGGATCGCAAGTACTGCCTTCATTTAAGAGTAAAATACTCCAGTATTTTACTGGAGTTGGCGCTCATTTACTATTTTCCAGAAGAACTTTAACGACGCTCAGAATTTCTTTGAGTTGGCTGCCTAATTTCATCAGGCCTCAGGTCTAACATAAGCCACATTTCGCCGACAATTAAACAATGTTCCGTTTAATCGTTGCATTTTTACGACGGCTGTGCTACTTAAATATGCCACGTATTTAAAATTACCATAGCCATTTCTTAACCATATAGAAAGAAGTGTCATTTTATAAAACATCTACGGCAGCATATATGTCGCTGTACACTAAACACAATATTCTGAATAACACGACTTAATCAACTTGGCTTACGAAATTTGGCCTCCACGGTATAAATACAGCCGTTAGAAATGAATAAAATTTGGCCTAGACTACGGATGACTTAGTGACCATATAATTATGGATTTATTCTTCACAAAAAACAGAATCGTTTTAACTCAAACCAAAAGCAGACGTACTGTGCATAATTAAGGTCCAAGATCGGGCGTGAAAATGCTCAACTTATTTAAACTTTACTATCTATACATTAATGAGATTAAAATAAGATACGGAAAAACACTTTTTCCGTCTATGATAACGTATTTGAAGTAGAAGAGAGCTCTATGGCATTCACTGCGCGCAAAAAATAACCTCTTCAACAAAGGATAAATAATGAGAAAACAACAAAAGTTTTTCCTTCGTCTCTTCGAGGCGACAGAGCAGAGAGTCCCAAGAGACGGGTTTGGTCCCATCAAAGTCCGTAAAAAAGTACAAAAATGTTTCAAGAATATCACAGCAGAAGGCGTCCAATACCTGAAAAAAAGAATAGGTTACAAGGTCTGATAATCAATGATGTTAACAAAACTTGAAAGCCAAATTGCGAGAAAAAAAAGATCTATTCACAAACGGATGCTGATGATAACATCCATGTTCCGGAATAATTTATCCAAATACTGAACTCTTAAACTCTGACCTAAAACTTACGCCTCTGATATGGCCAAAGCTAAGACTAATAAGACCAAACTAAGACACATTCGCTAGTTTGGAGTAAATTCGATGGAAGAATCCTAACAAATTTTCTTTCAGGAGTTTCAAACAAAGTATAAACATTGATTGGAATTTATTGATAATTAATTATCTAAATTGAACATTCTCGACTCAACTTCCTGATAGAGACTTGATGATTGATTATTAGAGAAGGAAATGAGAAGAAAAAATACACCAGGGCAACATACGCTATACTTCGTCTCCCACGAAACTCTCTTTCACATCGCGTTTAAATTAAAAGAATTATTCTCAGCACCGACGAAAAAATATAATCATATTATACTACAAATATTTAGGGTTTGAAAAGCTCAGATTAAAATACTGTAATTACCTTCCGAACTCCTCCGGACACCTGCGCAAGGAGCGTGGCTGTAGCGTCCTCAAGACGGTCCAGCTTCATGATTGTCATTGCACGAGTCGTCGTCTGAGTCGCCCCCTTCAGACTCTGTTATTTCAGCTACTCTGCAGAGGCCACTAGGGCCTGCCTCTGCATCATACAACGCACATACGCCTGAAGCTGCCGACGTGGGAGTTGTTGGGACCGAAGATGAGGCAGAGGAACTTTCCGACATGTTCCCGTCATCGGACATTAGATTCCCGTCGTCGGAGAGACGGTTAGCACCGTCGCATTGATGGTTAGCATCATCAGAAGGATTTTTAGCATCGGCGGAGGGAGGGTTAGCATCGTCGGACATAAGGTTGGCGTCGTCAGCGGCAGTGTTGCCATCGTCGAAGTGCCGCTGTCGTTTCCTGTCGTTCCATCGTAAACAGTCGTCCAGAGATGCGAACCAGTCAGCGATCTGGTCTTCAGCACAGATGCTCGGCACAGGATAGATCGAAGTCGTCACGCGCAGGCTGCCACGAAAACACATGACATGTAAACATCAAATGTTATCAGACTGCGAACAGACTCCATGATATCTAAACTTCAAAATCATTACTAGTACATGTACAATTGCACATATGCAGTCAGACGAGTGTTAAATGACGGTTTGAATTTATTTATTTAAATTGTTTGAATTTATGAATCACAAATCCATATCGTGTCTTAGTAGAAAATTTGTATCATGATTTCGGAAATAGCGATAAAAAATTGTTAAATATAAGATTTGTAAATAATTTCGACAAAGAAAATATGCTGTCCGTAATATTTCAAAACTATTTAATACGACGTTAGTGGATGATTAGGAAAAGATGGGATTTTCAAAATAAAAGATGTGGTGCAAGAGCATTACAGAAATAATACAAGGTGATTCACGGATACTTCCTGTTTTGAATTTCGCACCAAGCAGTCAAACTTTGTAGGAATAGGGCGGGGAGTATTTCATTTGAAAAACAAGATCATGAAGTTTTGTGTCTCGCCTAATCAATTGCCACTATGCATTGGACAAGTGAGCCAAGTGAGCAGCGTGCGTTTGCTGTCGAGGCGTGCTTTTTTAATTGTCGTTACATTATCGCTACTCAACTAGCATTCCGGACTCGGTTCCATGCATAGATAAGATGGGCTTTCAGGTCGGAAATCAATCGATCGGAAGTCGATTGTAACGTGGGCAAACACATTTAGGGCAAGTGGAAGTGCGGATGCAAGAGTCAATTGTTCACAATGACAGTCCAATGTCCAAAATGACTGTCCAATGTCCTACCTCATTTGAAGATCAATAAACGCCAAGCCATCGCCAATATGCCCGTCAATTTGCTTCAGCGAGTTGAACGAAACTTCAAAAAATCGACTAGCAGAAGGCATTGACAATAGGGGCCGGCATTAGTCCGATGTCATCTTTAAAACTACGGTAAGTGATACAAAAATTCAGGAAATGTCTCTTTCCAACAACATTTATATTGTAATGATATCTATACTAGTTCTTTTTTTGTTGAGCTTTCAGATCAGGAAGTTTCCGTGAAACACCTTGTATTATAAAATATAAAATAAGAGAAAAATCTTCATAAGAATTATAGAATGAGATGGGCTTACGGACCGAATGTTGAAGGATAAGCTTTAATGTGGAATGATATGATTTATTGTGAAAAGATAGGATTCATTGTGAAAGGATAGGATTTACTGATGAAGGATAGGATTTAGCGTATAAGGAAAGGATATAATATTGGGTAATGATAGGTCTGAATGATGGATAGTAGGATTTAAAATAGCACCAAGCAATTTTTTCATTTGATGAATGCCAACAGCAACCAACCAAATTCAATATTTAAAATCACTTGGAATACTAACACTTCAAGGACAATTATTTAGACTCCAACTCTTGGGACTATCACTCTGAGGACTAAACCTATGAAGACGCAAACTCCAAGTATTAAAACTAGTAAGACAGACAGTCTGAGCATCAACACATCAAAGACAAATCCTCCGAAGAATAACACTTCAATGAGCGACACAACTGCCTCCTCTTTGTCCGAACCTTCGACCGAGCAGCCTTGAACGCCTGCGATAACAAAGTTGTTATAGAAAGTTTGGAAGAGCAAGACATTCATCTCCAGGAAGAAGCCTACGTCCCAAACAACGACGGTGAGAAATGCGCCCAGTAGTGAAGTAAAATTAATGAGTGTTTAACGAAAAAGCTGGAGTTAAAACCAACTACCTATGTTGTCGGAGAAACGATCAGCGTGCAACAGAAACCACTGAAAGATCCGTTTGCAAGAATACCTAGTTTATCGTCTGCCACATAGACAATAATTATGGTGCATGGAGTTCAAGTATTCAGCTTACAACGAAGTCAGATATTTTGATATTAATTTCCAAGAATCAAACAGGAAGAGAAAAGTTAACTGGTGCATCAGATCTGCAATGGAAAATATCTGAAAACGATTATATCGAGACAATCGAGCCCGAGAAATACACCCAACATTCGATAAGCCAAAGATGAAACAGAAACTATTTCCGAAAGCCCGACTGGAATCGCAAAACACAAACCCACAAACCTATCGCCGACCAAAAGTTCGGTCTGGTGGCGCCCATCAAACGAGATCCAGCAGGAATGACGGTCAGCAGAACTGAGCTTTACCTGAGAAACAATGGATAATGCAAGCATCAATAACTATAAGACGGTCGCGAGATATACAGCGGAGGTCTTTGGACGAAGTGTGAAGCGATGTTTGACGCATGGAAAACAATGCTCAACGGTTATTGACGATGATTAATTCGATGTTTGGGTATGATTGAACGACCATTAACGCAAAGAACAACGATGTTTGACCAATGGCTCATCGAAACGTGGTTTCATCGAAAAGCAATAACGGCTTTGGTTGTGGCACTGGCAATCAAAAAGTGTGCACGGAACTCGAGGTATGGCAGCCACGCTTGGCAAGACCGAGGAAGACTAAAAGGCAGGAAGCGAGGCTGAAAACAGATAATTTATTGTGGAACAGGCGAACACCAAGATAGGTATGAAATAGCGGAGCTAGAAATAGAGAAATGTTAACCGTGGAATAGGAAAACAAAGTAAGGTGAAAACATGTAAGCCAAAGTTGTGATGAACTAAAATGGGAAGGTTGTAGGAGAAAGAAGTGAACAAAAAACGGGAATTTCGTCAGAAAAGATAGAATGACGAGGTAATCTGGTAGGGGAATGGGGCGGTGAAAAATAAGGCAAACAGCATAGACACGAGATAGCGATACCTCACCTATCGTCGTGAGTGAGCTCCTGCCTCATACGACCATCAAAGGAGATCCAGGCTGTATTGCGACTGTCCTTCGATACTGTAATCTATACAAGCAAAGTTAAGGCCGTTAACTACTCATAATTTCGATTGTTCATTACAACTTCATTGCTACTGATCACATCGCTGTATTCTGATGCAATAACAAACTGTTAAAGTTACTTTTCAAGCTTTAATTGCATTCGATGTTTAGGCATTCATGACTTATGATAAATTCGTAAATACCAATGAATTGTCTCTGTTAATAAATAATAATGGAATATAAAGTAATATATCTCCACACATTTGATTGTCATATCAATCAAGAGTAAAGAGGACAAGTTGCAAAAAAATAATCAACTTCCCTTATTTCGTAAAGAATCATTAAATCATTCTTTGGAAGTGTTGTCTTTAAAAAGTAAGTTTCAAACAAATGTTTTTTTATACAAAATTCCTTATTAAACTTAGAAAATTCCTTAAATAAAAATTTGTATAAAAACCCATAAATAAACTTCAAGAAGTACGGTAACCTCTTAAGCAGCTTCTCAAATTTCGATAATTCTGAAAAAATTATTTAAAAAAATGACTAATGGAGACAAGAAGTTAAACAGCTTCTCAAATTTCGATAATTCTGAAAAATTTATGTAAATAAACTGACTAATGGAGACAAGAAGAAAACAATTGTCTTAGTCAACTTATTAAAAAAGCTTGCAGGCACGCACCTTGAGCTCGACGCCAGCAGGCACGATGATGGGTCGGAATGATAATGAGTGAGGGCAGATGGGCGTCACCATGATGGCTGGCACTGAGGGGTGGATCATCGATGCTCCTGCTGCTACTGCGTACGCTGTGCTGCCCGTTGGTGTTGATACCAGTAACCCTGCACATATGTTGCTGCTTTACAAACTAATCTTGCAGCTTTACAAACTAATCTTTCAGCTTTACAAACTAATCTAGCAGCTTTACAAACTAATCTTGCAGCTCTACAAACTAATCTAGCAGCTTTACAATTTAATCTTGTATCTTTACAAACAAATCTTGCATCTTTACAAAAAGTAATATGCGATAAAACACACTCTTCCTTCATCTGTTGAACTTAGTACACAAGAGCGATTGCAACTACACTTATTACTCGAGGAATGAATGATCGAGACACACAAAACTTTTCAGCTGCAGAGATAATGCTCAAAACGAACATGGAGATGGAAATTCAGAATCAAAACTTCAAGAAAAAAGTAAAATAATGAAATTATTCTAAATGTCTTTGAAGGCCCCGTTGATACCATCGAAATGTGAACAAAAAAGTCATCACCCTTGAACATTCTCAGCCCTAAGCTCAGATCGTCACTGTAGGGTTAAAATACATTAATACGAAAGCGTTTATTCCATTGAAAGAACCTCAACTGAACACGTGTGACCAATTTATCAGAATGTATACATAACGACAAATTTGCATTATTTTCTCCTAAATGTTTGTGAAACGTCTAGTATTGAAAGACCAAAATTATTGAAATGTAGTCCAATTGTAGCCTCCGTAAACAGAGTCGAACAGAAATGATCCTAACCTGGGCCCATACTTTCAAAAAAAGTTAAGAGATCGTAAGTTCATCAGCCAATCATTGACGGCCTTTCAAGCAAAATCCACCAATCAAAGACAAGAAAATAGAGCGTAAGTACTTACGTTCACTTAGCGAGTTTTGAAAGAATGGCCCCTGAACTCACCATCGCCCTGTACCGAAGTGATGCGTCTTCCGTCGAGGTAGAGATCGAGATTGGAGAGGTAGGGGGAGGGACCCCGATCTATTACCACCTCATTAAGAACAAGTAAATTAGAGGGGAGTTTAACCCCAGGGTCGGGCAGCCATGGGGCGGTTGTGGCGTCGGGCTTGGGCTTCTTAGGCTGTGGTTTGTCGTAGCCTCCCCGCACGATGATGCAGCGCAGGCGTGAGCGCAGCGTTAGGGCTGCGTGACCTGGCCAGTGATCAATTAATTATTTAATTAGTCTGATAAACTATCAAGTATACTCAGAGAACTGAGCGAGACTTCGTCCACATAACGATGCACTTTTGTCTTCGTGTAGGTCATCCTGAATCAGTTTGGCCCGACTGAAGGGCGCTTCAGTTCACTCTTTACTCGTGCTGTGGTTAAGCAACAATTGGTCATATTGTCACAATTTGGACAATATAACCCATTCATTTTTCCATGGTGTACACCAAGAATTAGATAGCAGAAAGAATCGTACTGTATGAACGACAGGGTGAACTTATTTGGGGTTTCCCTTGCTTTTAAAGACTCGACAATTAAGCAATTTCACGATCATTGTATTCTCGAATTGAGTATACACCTAATAATCGGGTGACGTTCATACATTAATATTAATTTAGTAGGTATATTTGGCAAACGGTTAAACTCTGTTTGAAGTGAGTATCATAGTAATAAATTAATAGTATCATAGTGATATTGGTAGATATAGAAGCTTTTCACTGATGAGTAAACCGGTTTCCAAACAAGAAATAATTATCTCCAATATTGACATGATTAATGGATAATCTGCGAGTTGACATGATTAATCTGGTGAGATTATAATAACAAAGCACCACTCCTGTCATGATGGTCAAGAAAGAGCGAAATTTTCAATAATGTTTGCAGTTTATTTTCTTGAATTTAAGACAATTACTGAATATAAAATATTACCCGTACAACTTGAACCATTCAACGCAAGCTAGAATACGTTTGCGGTCAAGCTCGTCCAAACGTCAATGCAATTGAAATGTAAGCAAACCCAACAATTTATTAACTTCGAGAACAAATTATTAAATTTATCATCATTTAGATTTATATTTTTATATTTTTTATTAATTGGAGATCCGTCATGAACACATGGAAGCATCAATATAACCAACAAAACCATAAACTGAGTTGCGTTCATTAGATGCTTTCCCTAACGAAAGGCAAACACAATGTAAATAATTTATTGACTCAAATTTTAAGAAGCCATTAAGATTTACCTTCAAGCACGTTTGTGACTTGCTCCTGGAAATTGCTGAACTTAAAAGGAGTGAGGAAGCCCAACGAACCAAGATGGAATGCCATCACTGGAGGCACGCTTTGCTGCAACACAAATCTTAGTTAGCATTTCTTCATGCGTCTATTCTGGGAAAATCTCATTCAAAAGAGATTAAAAAATATGTATTACATAATATATCCTTAGCCCAGCACAAAATACCGCCGTATTTATGTTCAAGCTACTCTAATTTGGGTAAAATAATGACAATAATTGATATGAAATTTGCTCAAAGGACTAAACAGTACAAAGAATCAACCCACAATATGTACGAAATTAGTACGAGATAAAATGAAATTAATATAACCCCAACAGAACAGAACTTGAGCTGAACGTTATCATAAAGGTAAAATATATACACTTTCAGAAAAAACGGTGAAAAAACGGTCCCACTGGCATTCTAGCGACCGGTCGCCCCGTGAAAATAAACTGATTTGCCATTTTTATTAGATGTTTTAAAGATTTATAGTGTTAAATTAGAATAAAAACGGTTACAGTGTTTTTTTTTTCACGTGCCGACCGGCCACTGAAACGCCGGTAATACCGTTAATGGTAATTTTTCTAACAGTGTACAACCTGGAATAAAGACGAAGCGTATAGCAGAGTTCCGTCTCCTCCCAAGCAGATGATGAAGTCAATTTTGTCGGTGAGGTCGTCGTGCTTCTCATTGAAAGACATGAGCTTGTCTTTAACATCAGGGAACTTAGCGTGCTTCGTAACGAGGGGTTCCTCCAGCACAGACGCTTCCACAAACACTACCATCCTTTTCTCCTGTAATTACCGTGACCATCAGTGAACGCATTACAAGAGGAAGTTATAATACATGGAAGTTATGATACGTACCTATACGCCTTATTATTATTATTATTATTATAACCGCGTTAATAATAGTAATAATATAATCAGTGCGTTAGGATAAGTGCATTGTGATAACAGTCATGAATCTACAATTATAACAGGATACTATAATAAATTCTACATAATATACTATCAATATAAAAACTGTAACAGGACACGAACCAGAGTGAGCCAAGAGACGAGCTCAATGAAGGGAGGGATGACCATCGCGTCTCTGACTTTCTTGATGACGAGGACGCTGAGGGGAGGCTTGTACCACGTCAGTCTCTGGCTGGCGGGGTCCTGTATAGTCCTGCAACATGTATTGTGTGTGAGCCTGTATAGTCCTGCAACATGTGTTGTATGTGAGCCTGTATAGTCCTGCAACATGTATTGTATGTGAGCCTGTATAGTCCTGCAACATGTGTTTATGTGAGCCTGTATAAAACGTACTTAGAAGTAACGAATTCAAGATAATGTGAGTAATACAACATACATTTGCACTGCACGTAACGCATAGATGGAAGTTCATTAAATCAAAATACTTAAAAAAATCGATTAGAAGACGGTACAGGGAACTTTGACGTCTAGATTGACCAAATACCATAATACTAATATTTGTTAGTAATACGAATAAGAGTCGAAAATTTCATGATGGACTAAATGAAGTCAGGACCGACCTAATGACATAACGGAGATGACAATACCGAGCTGGGAATTCAACAGAGCAACAGTTAAAAATGTTAATATTCGATAAGATATTTGGTCAGGATGTAAATATTCAGTTCAAGCGAAACGTTACATTATCTTTAAGAACAGGATAACAAAAATTACACGTCCATTTGCCGAGAAACTTGAGTTCTTGCAACATCAGCTCAACCTAACATCGTGTAACATCTGTGAGTTGGGCTGCAGAGCCTATATTAGGTCTCACATCTTATCTAAGCCAGAACCTATACAAATTTTACACGATCCGACTACTACGATGCGTGATGCATGTCTGAAAATTATATTTGTTGAGCATAATATAGGATAATAATGACTTATTAACATACAAGAAGAGACCCAATCAACCTATTTACTTTAAGATTTGTTACATGGAGTTGAGTATTTTTCAAATAATATATAATTTCATATATAAATTATATACGAATTACAACGAAATACAGACATAAATGTGTAAAAACAACCGACAGATGCAAACTTATAACTGACCAGTTTGTCCCAACCCACGCACGGTGCAACGATGTAGATCTTGCTTCAGAAATAACATCAAATCTTCTGCTACTTTGAGATGAGTCAGCAAGAATGGAGAAATTGTCGGCAGAGCTCAAGCTATCATCCATCTTTACTTCATACGGAGGGAAGACTTCTTGAGAAATGCCATCTTCTGGGGTCAAAGAACTGAACTCTCTCCGCGGGCCATCCAGTCGAGGTATACAAGAGTAGGGTTGACAACCACTCAAAAAAGACCGCACCCGAACCGGAGTTCGACTCGATGATAATTGTGCTCTATTGCTACATGAGACAGGCATATCAATTTCACAATTAGCATTATGCCTCGAAGGATATGTAATCTTCCACATGAAGGTCCCACTTGACTCTTTGTTTTCTTTAAAAGAAACAACATTGAGCGCATCGTCAAAAGATTGTTTGCTCATGCAACCGTTGTCTGGATTATTACCCAAATTAAGGCGGTAAATAGGAGGGTCGTAAGAGTTAAATATACTTCCATTATTACTAAAAATATTCCTTGCTTGATTGTTGTTGCAGAGGTCCAGCTGAGGCACGTCGTTGCCGGTGCGAGGGGTTACTGTATGAAGCGTTTTTCCAGTAGCGTCTGAAGATGAAGACTTGCTAGACGTTTCTGACCCACTTGAAGACGTTCTCGACATGTTGCTTTCATTTGTCCCGATATCGTTAAAGGAGTTTGAGGAATGTCCAGAATCCCAGCACCCGCTCTCAGAGCTTGAGTTCATTTTATTGTGTCTTCCTAAAGGTTTACCGGTCCCGCCGCAACGTCGACAGGGTTTAGAGTTCATCACTTCGTTGGCTCTCCTCGAGATTTTCTTTGTTGACTTGGAGCGACCAGAAGGTCTATTTCTCGTTTTATTTGCACACAACGAAGTAATAGACGAATTTTCCGCGATTTCTGAATGCGCAGAAAAGCGGGTGCATGAAGTGCCCATGGTTGCAGATTTGTCACTGTCAAAGACTGCCAGTTTGATTTTAATGCTAACAATAATACATCTGTACAGGATAAAGGTGAAATTAATGTTTATTGACAGCCGCGACCTAACTTTTATAAATATTAACAATCGAATAATTGGGGAACTTTCACTTACATGAAACATTGATCAGCATAAAAAATTATTCAAAGAACACAATAAAACATAATTGTGTATTTTTAACACTAACGGAAGGCCAAAATTCTAAACAAACAAATATTGGCTGCTTGTAATTTTAATTTTTTACGAACACTGAAACTTGCTGTAAACCAAATTGAGCTAAGCAAATAATTGGAGCAATTTAAAACAACCAAAAGCATTGGATGAGTAGGCACGGTTTAAGAAAAATTAAGCTAAGTCACCAGCATTGGCACTTACAGTCCGCTAGGCCGCAGACGTTGAGTTAATCGATCATGCGAAGGCTAAACTACAGCGCAGCTCATCGATCCTGCAACTCAATTATTTTTCGAAAAAGAATGCAGCAAACAGGAACAGCAACGACTCTTCAAGTCATCAATTTCTACATGCAGTTTATTATAGCCCTTCGTACAATACAGACAAATGAATATCGTAATATCGTAAGTGTTGTAAGCTGCAAAACCATGACATCACAGATTTATTTTGATATTTTCTTGGAAATTTACTTCTTACTAATAACGATAGAAAAGAGTATAGATTTGGAATTAAATTTCAGTTAAATTCGAAAAACTTTTACACTTGAAATAAAATATAGTTAAGAAGCAGCAATTGTGGTCACAAGAGCTTTAGACAGCAAGATATAGATAGAAAGTTTTTCATTCGTCTTAATCTCACTTGACTGATCTTCACTTCACCAATTCAGATGTAGGTAATTTTGTTCCACATTACACTGCAACTACAGCAACCTTTTTCGGCCTCACACTAACAGAGTTGGTTTCCTAAATGTAAAAGTACTACTAACTATAAATTGAACACAAAATCGGAAAAACAAATTTCATGCTGAAACGAATTCGGGATTGACTTTACGTATTGATATTATAGACTGCAGATAATTTGGAAGCCAAAATTTTGAAGTATGCTTTTCACGCCTGCTCGAAAAAGTTACAACAAATAAGTAGATAAATCCTAACACAAAACTATGAAATACACTCTCAAGGAGACAAAATTCACCCGCAACTGAAAGCTTTGAGAAGACAAGAACGACCGCTCGTGACTGATAACATCGTCAGACTAACGCGCAAGGTACAGAATGCCTGGCAACTTAAGAGTCGTGGTGTGGCTACTCATACTACAGCACAACGTGACGATGGTTAGGTCATTCAGTGCTACCAAAACTTGCTCAGTGACCAGGGGCCTTCCTTTCATAACTCGCTAAGTGAACGTAAGTACTTACGCTCTATTTTTTTGCCTATAATTGGTGGATTTTGCTTTAAAAGTCCGTCAACGATAGGCTAATGAACTTACGATATCGCAACTTTTTTTGAAAGTATGGCCCCAGGGCAACCAAAGGGACAAGAGATCGATGCATCCGTTCACTGCGGCTCTGAATCATCGACCATCATGTGCAATATTTAAACCTCGTGGTGCAACATTGTGTTGTGAGTGTCAATCATAAAGAGTGATTCATACTCACAAAATGAAAAAATTAACTAACGATATTCAGGTACTAGTTATGTAGAAAATTAATAACAACCTGAGCCCTATACCAAAATTGCACAGCCGAAAAATTTACAATTAATTTCCACACAAACTCTGAATCAATGAAAGCAAAACAATGATGTAAAAAGGTGCAGAAAAACTATGGGTATACTACCAGAATACTCACAACGGGAGGAACATGAGTAATATGCAACATAAAATTATGAGTTGTTACTCACATGATCATAGCAGAGTTGCGCATGATGCGGCCGCACGGGCCGAACTGCTGGATGGGTGAGGGTGCATTGAGGGACCTTGTTCTCCTGCACAACACAAATATGTTAATTGCGGTACAACACAAATATAATAATTGCAGCATAACACAGATATATTAATTGCTGCACAACACAAGTATAGTAATTGCAGCACAACACAAATATATTAATTGATGAGAATGAAGTCAGTCACTAAGATAACACAATGAAAACAAACGAGCAAGCGGTACCGTATAACTTACATCAATTATTGCAACAACTTTTCACATCGCACCCTAATATGAGCACCCAATCTCAAATTCATGATGATTAAAACGAGTCAGAAGAAGTTATTTTCGACCGCTCTTTTTCGTTGGCGCATGCGCTTGACGTTCAACTCGCGATAATAACCGTAAGTGATTAAGAAACCATAACAAATATTTTATCTTCACTAAAATAAGGAGACAACTTCAATGAAACCCTGGAATTGATCATCCACAGAACAAAGATGGGAAAATTTACGAGGGAAACGCTATGAGAACAACGTACAGTTTACTACACGGAAGGCCTCATCTTACGAACGCTATTCTCTGGTCAACTCATACAGGTTTTCCAAACGATTTTGCACCTAATTATGATTCCTTTCCTATATAATGAGGTAGGAACATTTATCTTTCAAAGCACTGAGTCAGCATTGTGTCTCGAGCTGTGTGACAAACAGTGCCAGTCAAAGGGATCAATATTTGCATTGTGGAGACATCATAAATACTTCATTCACTGCTGGCCGTTGTGATAGGGCCTCAGACCTCCTCGTGGTTAGTCTAAAAGTTAGTCAACACCTCACTAGAATCAACAAGCTTCACAACAATGAAGGCCTCATTTTCAACGCAGCGAACAGTGAAAAACGAGTGACGCGACAAATAAGTTCAAGGGCGCGGCGCTGTCACCAGAGCGTGAAATCAATGCGTTATCGCTGCATATAATGCGTTATCGCAGCAAGGTAGACAACATGGCTTGCCGTTATGTGGCACACAAATTATTGCCAAATAAGGCAATCACCACCGGCGCTTTTCATTAAGCCTTTCAATCACAAGAGCGAGACATGAATCTCCTTGGATTACCCTAGACCCTAAAATTGCAGTCAATAGTTTTGGGCAAAATTGAGACGGTAACCAGTACCTACACCCATCACAATGGTTTAAATAATATGAACAAAAATTCATTGGAGTTAATAAATGATGATAAAAAAAGTAGTACATTCCCTCCATTATCCACTAGCAAATAATTGTAATCCTCAACAATGAGAGTCATCTGAAAAGTAATACAGGCCCGGGGTTCGAGTCGCTTAAATAATAAACGAGGATAGCACAGTGGAATGACAAAGAATGGCAGATATTTACGTTCCTTGGTCTCGTCACATCTTTGGTGCAAAAGTACAATCGGAGTACCTAGTCTGCAGCCCCTAACTAAAAAGAGCAGCAGAGTTTCAGGCCACATATGCCTATCAATTCTACCAGGAAACCTTAATTAACCAGAAAATACGAGGAGGCATTCCTTTAGTCTCTTCCTAGATGAAAGAAGCGTTTAGAGATTAATTTTTTATGTACTCAACGCTGGTGCTCACGAGAAGATAGATTCAATCAATATCAAAAATATCATAAAAATTACGTTGTGTTGAAAATTGTGTTCGAATAGAAAGCAATAATATTATTGCAATATTTTTTGAGCGAACGAGGTAACTGAAGGAATAAATATAGCCGCCATATTTCAGCTTGTTCTTTAGCAGTAAATTCAAACAACTCGGAGCGCCGCCCCACTCGGAGACAATATCAGAGCAAAGTTTGTCCTTATAATTATTGAAATGCGAGTGTCGCAACCAATTGGATAAGACAGAGACAGGTGCACGATAGTTTAGTGGTGCACGACAGTTTAATGAAAGTCTAATTAAACATGCATATGAGTGGCGCACGACAGTTTAATGAAAGTCTAATTAAACATGAGTGGTGCACGACAGTTTAATGAAAGTCTAATTAAACATGAGTGGTGCACGACAGTTTAATTGTTAATGGCGAGTCCGACAAAGCAGTTGCCATGGGCATGCCTGATAAGACATGTAGACGCTGGCAGCTAGACTGTCATGAGGGACTAGACTCGCGTCCTGGTGAAGTCAACTAATCTCCACTTATAATGATTTGTACCAAGCCAAGACCTTCAGTTTTGAGTGGAGATAGACAAGCGTTAATTATACTGCAAATTGTATTCCAATCTATTGTAAACCGTTTAACCGTGAAAATAAGTACCTACTCCGTTTATCGTAACTATGTGCCTCATTATCCCTTGCGATCACAGGTTCGACGGACAAGGCGGTTGCCATTGACCCAACAACCCCGCGAACAATAGCACTCGCTGGTCACATTGCGCACTCACTTTACTCGCGCCGACCATGGGCGACAATGACGCGCCGTCATGCGGTTCAGTAGCGTTCGTCAAAAATTAAGGAAATCCAGGCGTATGCTCCAGCACAGGCGTGTGCTCCACAGCAAGCTGCGGGGAAAACCTAAATCGAGGTTATACCTTGGCATAAAAAAAGTCGGATCGCGACAAATTTAACAAATTAGCAAGTTTTATAACAGCCGCATCCGATAAAAAAATCCGCGTGGAAAAACTACTGTACAAAGGGGGGATGATTTATTTAAGGCACTAATAATGGATAAACAAATGGCACATGAAATAAATTAAATTTAAAGTCGACACTGGAACTTGAATAAGTATAAAGCCGTAATCGTGTGCATTTGCACTCAATTTGGGGCGAAAAAATCGATGAAAGTGACTAGAAAAACTCTGATCGCATTAATTCTATAATTTTATAACTTATTGAGTAAGAGAACGAAATCGATAGATCGCGGAATAAAGTAGTTTAACACAAACAGTCTTTCCTATGATGTAAGTAAATTGCTAGTTATCCCTTCACTGCTTCGCACGAATTTAAAAATACGTCGTAATGATTTTCATACTCGAACTTGGTATTAAACAGAGGAGTTTAATTAAAAAATTAAAGAGAGGAGAAAACGTTTACCATGGAATTAAATGAAAGGCAACGCAAGGAAGAACAATGAAGCAACGGAACTAGTTCATGGTCATCACCATAAATCATTTTTTAACCTAGCCACCAGAAGAACAATGAAGCAACGAACTAGTTCATGGTCATCACCATAAATCATTTTTAAACCTAGCCACCGATAACACGCCCGTCCCCGTTAGCAGAGCGTTCATCAACACCACAGCTTTACGCTGTCACTTGCTCCAGCCTAATTGTAGTGAACTTCCGTTCCACGCGACATCGGGTGTCGCCAACAAATTATCTGGGGCCACAATATCAGGAAAAGTTACGATTTCGTAACTCTGTCAACCAATCACTGAAAGCTTTTCAAGCTAAACCCGCCGATTACAGACGAGATATAGGCCGCAACGTGTAGTACTTATCCCGCTAGTCGCTACGTTTACTTATCCCGCTACGAGGACTTATCCCGCTGCGTGTACTTATCCCGCTGCGTGTACTTGAGCGAGTTTTAGTAGTAGAGCCTCAGAACTATGTTCGAGGGAGCAGTCAATGAGCGAAATTACAGCCTGATCAAGAGATAGACGCTGTCTTCATTCTACGACCATTTCCAAGTAAGAGTGTACACGCTCTATTTTAATAAGAAAAATAATTCAAATTCCTGAAAAAAAGTCAAATGCTATTGAAAATATCAAAACGTCAGCGACTTATTTTGCATGCGATCCACAAACCTGCTTGGAAAGTTTCAGTGCACCGGTAACAAGACAAATTTTTTTTCACCAGAGAAACTTAAGGAACAGATATTGTAGCACGAAACAATATTTGAAAAGTCAACAGCTGCTAACTGAAGCCTGTAATAACAGATGCACAAATAATTTTGATAAGTGGCTTAAAAAAACATGCAATACAGTTTAACGACATCTAATAACTTGAATCTTAAGTATATGCTCCGAGTGTAAAATATACATACAAGCCCCGAAAATTAAGACTGAAATAAGAGACCGAAATATGACCGCTAACAACTCACACGTCGTCGATGTTATCGCACAGGATATCTTCATCGATGTAGATCATTTGGGGACATTTCAAGCTCCTTAAATCGACGCGGTTCATGTACAGCCACATAATCATTTCAGGTGCACGTCAAATGATACCAATCGATGTTCACGTTAACACACACACAGCGAAATAATTTTTTCGTATTGCAGATCGAGGATGATAAAGAGAGGAAAATCCTTCACATGCTCAAGCTGAAGCCACGAGAATCCCTCAAAATTTAAGCAAACCTTGAAAGGCTCGAGAAATTCATCCTCGTGAGGCGAACTTGTCAATTAATGCACATTGAACGAATAAAGAAATCGTTGGAAATGAAGATTTTAACACAAGGATATATGCATCAGTGTTGATTGAACTGAACAAATATTACATTAGTATAGCACGGGTTAGGAGAAGTTGCCAATAATCGGGAAACGTTTATAAAACTTACAACAAAAAGATGCGAATAAAATTATTTTCTACTAGTTGATTCGCAGAATTAGCATACGAGAATGCTAGCAAGAAAACATGAAAAAAACGAGAGAAAACATATGATTACTAATATGAATGAACTCTGATTTATTTAGTTAATTATGCTTATGCGTAACGCTACGCAGCACTGGTGATCATGGAAACGACTTGACATAATTATTAAAATTTTGATCTGACAATGAATTAAACTTTGTTACAAAAAGAAATAGAAGGGAAAGCCGAATAAAGTTCAAGTCTTCAGTTAATCAAGATAAGATAATTTGGCAGCGATTAAGTTCGGTGGATAAAGCCACTCGCTCGTTTTATCAGTCTCAAAAATTAACCATTTAATTTCCATATAATTTAGATCGGATGCAAATTACCGTAATGCGCTTCAATATTTATCCACGTTGACTGAAATTGTAGCCAGTAGAAAAGTACAGTAGCTTAGGAGACGCAACAGATGAACAATATCAAGAAAAATTCTTTCAACTGTAAAAAGACT